CCCCGCCAGAGATAGATACTCTCACCCCGCCAGAGATAGATACTCTCATCCCGCCAGAGATAGATACTCACCCCGCCAGAGATACTACCCAGCCAGAGATACACCGCCAAATCTATCGTTCCCGCCAAGCCTACCGGCCCCGTCAAAGATGCTCACCCCGCCAAGGCTTCACTTATCAAGAGCTTCAAATCCGCCGACACGGCCCCGCCAAAGATGCTCACCCCTCCAAGGCTTCACTGATCAAGAGCTCCAAATCAGCCCACACCAATATACTCACCCGCTCACCTCGCCAGAGCTGCTCACCCCGCCAAAGCGCCTCGCACCCCGAAAGCGCCTCGCCCCGCCAAAGCTGCACAACCCGACAAGGCTGCTCATCGTACCAAGGCTGCTCACCCCACCAAATCTGCTCACACCGCCAAAGCTCACCCCGCCAAACCAATTACTGCAATAAACGTGTTTGGTTTCCCGGATCATATGAGGTGATGAGTGCACACGTCGCAAACAAAGCTGATCACCCGGTCAAACAGATGACCGCGTTTGATGTGTCTGGCTTACTGGGTCATTCTACACAAAAGCCTCTCAACCCGCCAAGGCTTAACACCTTCAGACGACCCGGTAGACCAAACACATCAAACGCAATACTTCGTTCCAAAACGTCCAGAATGCATTGGCGAATTTAAGAATACTCAGCGGCACCGGCTGGAGAATGAAGTTCCCAATCGCGTGCTCAGTAATTGCACGGGAAAATGGCTATATGACGACAACGAACCGGTCATCGCAATCAGATTACAATCATCTAAAATCCCTTTCCGTTCCAGACAATTGCATTGCCAGATTGGCAGAATGCCAAGTTACTCCCTCACTGGCATATGGCACACGAACAGGTCGGCTCCTCGGCACCTCACAATCCATCCATACCGTGCTACCACACGGCCTCGCCAATTCCGCTTCTTCTTCCCACCCTCTACCACACAAACACGTGCCGCGATGATACCAAACGATGAGGACCTCTGTCATCAAGAAGCCCCTACTCTGAAAATACATGTGCGCTCCTGAGAAAAGCTCCTACTCTGAAAATACATGTGCGCTCCTGAGAAAAGCTGACCTTGATCTGACTCAAAGAATATAACTCAAATACCATTACCATAATGGCAACAAAGAACGGCAGAAACGAAGAGACGCAAGACGAATCAGAGAATTCCGGAATGCGGAAATAACAATAGACGGAGGACAGACGGAGAGAACAGATGAAGAGCAAGTGAGCTGGGTGCAATGGTGAGGAATCGAAAGCCAGATGATAAGGTGATGTGAGAGCCGCACTAGGTCCAGGAGTGCAGATGACGTACCCTTCGCCTTCTTGCCGATATCAGAGAACAAACCAGGTCCCTTCCCCATCGTGACGACGCGGGGAGATTACTCTGGTGATCACAGCCAAGCTCTCCCCACACTGGAATACCGGTACGCCGCGCAGCCGTCGACCGTTAGCAGAGTGGACACGCGACGGCGGTGGGCAGGGAGCGGCGGCGTGGAGAGCAAGGAAAGGCCGACGACAGCAATGGCGATACTCTGCTCCTTTGAGGAAGGAAACGATAGCAAGAGAACCGATAGCAAGAGCACCGACCACTGGATGATCGGCTCTGCTATGAGCGACTGCCCGCCGCCCGACGAGATGGTGATTTTAGAAAAGCTGTCCGCATAATATGATGATGATGGCCGAATAACTCTGCGAAGGACCCGCGGGTTGGGCGCGCACGCTACCTAGGGTTCTTTCGCCCAACCAAACGCTGAACCTGGCGCGTGGGTGCGGTAGACCACATCCGCCCGCGGGTCAGAGCCCGCCAACAAAACTGAGAGGCGATGGGTGTTGGCCTGCATAGGGCCGGCACGGCGCAAGACCCGATATGGTCTGGACCGGGCCGGTCAGGTGCCGTCCAGAACACACCAGCTGGAAACTGACGTTCTCCCGCCGCACGATTGCGAATGCTACCCCAGGGGTGCGGACAACGTTTGTTCCACGAAATAAGGGGGCAAAAAAAAGACAAAAATGAAAGGAGGAAAGCAAATCGAGAACACAAGGAAAACTCGAAACCAATTCTAAGGACCTCCCTGGCAATCCGCAGAGTAATGGATACGCCTGCCCACCTTCCCTAGCCTGTGGAGGAAAGGTCAGCAATGGTCTGGTGTGACGTGAGGCCTCAGCTGCTTTACTGCCCAAAGGAGAGGTCGCTTTTGATCCGTGCTCCCTCCCGATACCTCTCGTCCCGGTTCTCACCTCTGCCATTCTTCCCACGTTGATCTGCGATTTCTTGGCGCCTGTTTTCCTACTCTTGCGAAACGATGGCGGGCCGGGCAGTACTCGCCAAATGTGCAAAATGCGGAGTGCACCTATCCGTAGAACGTGCAAAATAAACATTACCATATTTTTGTCTTTTTCACATTTGCCGAGTGCTGCGGCGAGGTACAGTGTGTTCAACCCTTTCAACACGTGAGGGTATACTCACACAAGGACTGTTTTACTTTTTTTTGGACGCAACTGCGGTCAGATACATCCAAATCGGCCCGTAATTGCAGTCAGGTACATTTGAGATAGTGCTAGTGTGAGTACCACCTGTACATAGTCGTAGTCATCCCTCCCTCGCTGGAAGGAGAGAATAGAACGCTGTGGACAGGGGAGGGCCGATAATAGAGGTGAGAAGAGGGGTGAGTTATTATGGGCCTCGCCACAACACCATGGAAAAAAGAACTCTGAAGGAAGATGCACTTTTTGGTTTCCATAGTTGTGTGGCGAGGACCTATGATAGGTACTGCCTTCTCCCCCGAACATAACGCATATGCGTTGTATTCGTTTACAACGATATGCATTATGTTCGGGGGAAGAAGGTAGTCATGTGAAGGGGAGCCATGGTTGGTACATGATTCTCAATAAAGGCTAGTGAATGAAATGGGGTGGGATGTCCACATCTCATAAGAGGGCAATGAATACTTCTGTGCTATATCACAGAAACGCTGGGAGGGAGGGCGACATCTGATTTATTTGAGTAATGGTCAGTTATTGTTGTGGACAAAGGAAGGATGGGGGCCATGGTTGACACATAATCCTTACTAACGCTACTATATGGAATGAGGAGGGATGTCCACAACAGGGTATGGTAGGGCAGTCAATCCCCTCGTATGAGGACAATAAATGTTGCCTCGCATCGTCATGGGAAATTTGGGCGGGATAGTGACATATCTGATTTATCTTAGTAATGGTGTGTCATTCATGTAGATAGAGGAAGGGTGATAATCGAGGCGAGAAGAGGTGGTTGGAGTGCAATACACATTGCCTTGTGCTTATGAATTTTTATCACCATATTATAATCCGCCACAGGGACGTTGGACCCGATTTCGAGCATGTGCAGCTCCCCACTAATATATTGGAGCTACAGACCAACGGCATCCAACCTGGGGGGTGTTCCTGTCATCCTCTACATAGTTGTTCAGTAACGTACGTTAATTTTTTTTATTTTTTTTAAAGCGCGTTTACTACTAGGCAGTAGCGATTGTCCACATGAGGAAAACTCAATAACCATTAGAAGAGGTTGGCCCAATGTCACAGAACTTGCTTCGGGGGTGAATTGTTGTTTTTTGCTCAAGGTTGGCCCAATGTTATAATACATACTTCATGAGTGACTTACATCTTCGAGATGACGGTGTACCCCCCCAACAATCGACGTGTTTCACCAAGGTTTTCTCACACATTGTCTACCGCATGGGCGTGGGGAACACCGCCCTAAGGTAGCCAAAGCAATGAGACTAAGAGCG